CCCTACTTCTTACAAAATATGGAACCATTAATTACCCAGGAGAGTTCCACATCGGTGCTGGGCCAAACTGTTTTAACGTTGCAGGGTCGAGGTCGGTCACTGTGAAGGAGGTGACACGGGGAGTGTCTGAGCAGTGATCTGAAGTAGGCACTTCCAGCCTCAAGTCTCCACTACATCCAAGATGTGCTTGGACACAGCGGGCAGTAGCAGTTGCAGGTAGAGGGTTGCCTGGCTGGTTCCAGAGAGAAGCAGTGATCACTGTTGGTCAGTGGGGGATCAGGCAGAGTGAAACTGGATCCCCCCACAATCCAACTCTGCTTTTCTATACACCAGGACTTGGTAGCAGCTGCTAGAGGAGGCAGCAGCTGCGTGGCACAGAGTGAACTTGGCAGACTGGGGAGTCTGGTCCTTAGATACCAAGCTAATGGGCACGGTCTTAGAAGCTGGAATGACGTATAGGTGATTGCAGGCCAGGTGCACTTCTGAGTTTCACAAGAAATTTCCTCTCTGTAGCTGTTTGGCTGCTGGTATCAAAGAGGTATTGATTCTCTTTGGTGCCGTGTCTCTTTCCAAAAAAAGGGAAGTGTACAGAGCGCAGATGTTTTCCAATATCTAAGAGAGACAAAAACATTGTAATATTGACTCCTCCGTATCCAGTGATTTAGGAACATAACGGTTCTTGAGGTGACCGTGTTGCTAGGGAGATGACGATAATGGCTAACTCTCTTCTTTGAAACTGGGACATGAGCCATAGGAGCGACGGTGTGCTTTAGTGTTTCAAGCATCAGATCCCCTGTATCATTGCAACTGAGAAGGTCCATGCGTCTCTCTAGATGTATCCAGTTTGAATTTTCTCCTGTGGTGATACCAGCTTTATTATTTAATTGCAGAGCGACCAGCACCTCCCAGGCAACTGATAACCCCGCAGACTGAGGTTTCGTCACAGAGTCTCAAGCTGCAGTGGGTTCCTGGTAGCGATGGATCCTCCCCGGTACGGTACTTCACTGTGCAAGTGCGGGAGCTACCAAATGGAGAATGGCAAACCTACTCCTCTTCCATCAGTCATGAGGCAACCTCCTGCATCATTGAGAGGTATCTTACAACATCAGGGCATCCTAGAACTTGTATCACTTGCCACTTGGAGCATTTTATAGTTTCGAAGATCATATATTAACCAGTGAAACTTCCACACCGCTTGGGAGACAGGTAAAGAAGAGCCACTGTCCCCGCGGTAGAGGTGGCAAAAGTGATGCACAGAAGTTAAGTGACCTGCCCAAGGAAGCACAGCAAATATAATTCAAAGTTGGAATTGCAGCCCAGCATTTCCAGGCTCCTCTCCTGAAGCTTGGTACACTAGATCACTCTTTTTCTCCTACAGAGGATCTTGCCCAACCCTCTGACTGGGCAACATCCTGGAAAATAAAAGTCAGAATCATAGAAAATGAGGGTTGGAAGGGACCTCAGGATGTCATCTAGTTCAACCCCCTTCTCAAAGCAGGACCATCCCCAACTAGATTACCCCAGCCAAAGCTTTGTCTAGCCAGGTCTTAAAAACCTCCAAGGATGGAGAGTCCACCGTCTCTCTGGGTAACCTGTTCCAGCGTTTTACTACCCTCCTAGTGAGAAAGTTCTTCCTAATATCTAACCTACATTTCTCTTGCTACAATTTGAGACCATTGCCCCTTGTTCTGTTATCTGCCACCACTGAAAACAGTCCAGCTCCATCCACTTTGGTATCACCTTTCAGGTAGTTGAAGGTTGCTATTAAATCCCCTCTCAGTCTTCTCTTTTCCAGACTAAATAAGCCCAGTTCCCTCAGCCTCTCTTCAGAAGTTATGTACCTCAGGCTCCGAACCATTTTTGATGCACTCTGCTTCACTCTCTCCAGTTTCCCCACATCCTTTCTGTAGTGCGGGGCCCAAAACTGGACACAGGACTCCAGATGTGGCCTCACCAGTGGTCAATAAAAGGGAGGAATCGCTTCCCTTGATCTGCTGGCAACACACCTACCAGTGCAGCCCAGTATGCCCTCAGCCTTCTTGGCACCAAGGGCACACTGCTGGTTCATATTCCGCTTATTGTCCACTGTAACCACCAGGACTTTTGGTAATGGCTTATGTTAAAACTCACCCAGTCAAGGTACTGAAATATCTCTTTGTTACCCTTTATCCTGTTTCCAGATGAGGAATATCGTATCTGCATTTTCCATACTAAAATATACAGATCGCTTTGGGGTGTTTTGAACTGTGTCAGCCAGCCTCCATTCGGCCCTCAGAGATGGTGCTGGAATTAAAGAAGTTGCAACGTCTCATACAGACGAGGGGGAACTCATTTTGCTTCTGCCAATAGAAGCAAGACTGCCTCTAAAAGGACATTGGTATATGAGACTATGGCATTCACGATTTGTTAATGCCTGTTACAAAAATGTCAAGCAGTGCCTTCTGGTGAACTGACTCATTAGTCATGTGCCAAAGGATATAAATATAAATATATTGCTACCATTTGTTTAACTGGGCAGGGAACAGGAAACTTGACAGTTATCAGACAAATGCAGACCTGATTCACCGACTTTGGTGGAGTTTCACCACGCCTGAATTATGCCTAGTGTCTTTGCAGTCAAGGCCTTTGAAATCCAGGAGACAAGCTCTGTAATTTAGACTTGACATTGTCATTATTGAAAACAAAAGATCTATATTTCAAGAAAGACAACTTAAGTTCCTGAAGGAGAGGTTTGGTTTCCTAACAGGGTAAACTTGCAGGGGGGCACCTTTCTGGTCTCCCTTGCTAAAAGCATTTTCCTATGAGTATCCAGAAAAGCAATATTGTAGTGCCATTAGTTATTGGCCATCGCAATGTATTATCCCTCAGTGTTTAATCATCCCTTGTCAGGATCTTTACTTGGACTTGCCTCTGCTAGCTGGTGGCCAGACGCTACCAATTAATTAACTAAGCCCCCTCTAACTTACAGCTCTCAACTCGCAGCCCTTCCAGGTGTCTCAAAAGCAAGCCTCCTCCTGGCCAAGCCAGAAGATGCTTTGCTGAGGTTATGTCAGCTAAAAATCAGTCTTCGCGTATCTTAAAGCTCTGTATGTACAGAAGAGCTGCAGGGAATCTGCTGTCACTGTCTTTATTAAGTAAGCCAGGTAATAGCATTAGTTTGAAATTCAATAGCAGTGAGATGTACTGGTTCTGCTGCACAGCCTAGTAGATTAATCAGAAGGCTGGCAGGCTGTTTTCTCATGCCAGCTGTGCCATTGACTTCCTGGGTGGCGGCGGGCACATCAACTAACCTCTCTTTAGCTGTGTCCTTGTCTCTAAAATGAGGATCAGCTGCCCCACAGGACTCTCAAGGATGTATGAGATGCTTAATACAGATGGCACTTTAAGGATCTGAAATGCTAATGCATATCCTGAATTCTTTTAATAATGCACATTGCCCTTTCTGCAACCCTCTGTTACCCACAGACCTGTCCATGAATTACAGCTATGGCTATTCTTTTGGACTGAGTCAGTCATGAGCAGAAAGTGTCTGTCTTTGAGAACCCTTCCCCCTTCCTCCTACCTTTGTATTCAAATCTCTCTCTCCTTCTAATACATTGCTCCACAGCACATCCTTCCACAGCATCTGATGAAGTGAACTCTAGCCCGTGGAAGCTTGTGATGTATGGAGATATGTATACCCACACACTTTAGTTAGTCTATAAAGTGCACGTCTACCCCGGCTTCTATTTGAGAACTCTGGCTGGAGGATATTTGAGAAGGTGACAATGACATTAGAGAGGATCTGAGCAGCCCTGACGCCACTGGGAAGAAGGACGAGACTGGAAATAAAGGATGGAGGGCTTGAGAGAAGATGAACTACTCTAATAACCTCATCTGCCTTTGGGCAGGTTCTTTTTGGAGGGTTAGTCTCAAGCAGCTTGCAGAGACTCAGGGAGAATTCATCCCTCATCCTTGTTTTTACATTTTACAGGCTGAACCCATTTACTTCTTATAAGCTGCGAGTGAAAGCAACCAACGACATTGGAGACAGTGACTTCAGCACCGAGACCGAAGCAGTCACTACTCTACAGGATGGTAAGAGAGATGAAGAGGGGACGATCCAGACACTGGCATGGGCAGCGCTCCAGGGACTGCACTGTAACCTCTGGAGCCCCTTCTTCCATGAATTTTAATTCCACTTTGTGCTTCAGGTGGAGGGTAGAGTGAAAACCCCCAGAGTCAACCACAGTATTGTTCATGGGGAATTGATATGGATGGTAACGAGATTTAGCTGAATTAATAACAGGCAGCTTTAAGTGTCCTGCTGTGCCCTCTGATAATGAATCATGCTTTCAGGAGTCTCCAAATGGAATTAAACTCTGTTTGATTGGCTTCCAAACTCTGCGCTAACCATTATCTTTCCAGAAATTGAATAATTTACAAGAGATCATTAAAAATAAATGCAGAACTGTGCATATGTTTGAAGAAGTTTCTTCAATTGTTTTCACTCCCCATTCACATTAGGCTGCAGTGCTGCTAATGACTGAGGTGTCAGGAAGATGGAGCGTCAGGCTTCGGTAAACCTAGGTGTTTCTTCCTGCAGATTGGAGTAAACAGAAAATGAATGACAGCTGTCAGGGTTTGGGGAAGGGAGAGGGAGTGTGGCCTTTGAAGACAGATTTTGCTGCCCTGGATTATATCCCCTAGGATATTATTCCATAGATAATCTCACTTACCTGGACAGGACTTCTTGTGGGTCCATGGGTATAAGGAAGTTAGAACCTGGCCTGAAACAGACTTGCCCAAGTTATGTTATGACATCATGATGGGTGCTGAGCAACATTTGATATAACGTGGCTGCAGGCGAATAATACACGTAGGTGTTAAGGTAGCAGGGAATGATGCTAAGGCACATTGCAGAGAGTGTCACCCCGAAATCGGAAGGCAGGTGTCATCAGCTAGCAAGCGAAACGCCAGGGTGTCCTAACTTGGATTGGGACAGCGCTTGAACACACAAGGTGTCTAACCACATGTTAAAGAAACCCCCATTGTTCTGAACAAAAAATGCCTTATTGTTGCAGAGTATTGCAGACAAGAACTCCAGGTGCTAATGAGGCAATGCTGCCTCCATGCAGCCGAACTGAAGATTTCATTTTCAATTGACTTTGAGCTTAGTTGCAGGGAATCAGGAACTCGCCACGGCCTCCTAACAATGCAACAAGCAGAACTTGCAAAAGCTCCTCAGCCCCTTAACAAACTGTGAGTGTTTATTTTACTGAGCAAACCTAGCTGCCACTAGAGCATTACTCTGTGGAGAGCTGTAGGCTCCTGATAAGCTCCGCTTTCTCTGTGCCTGAGCTGAGATGTGCTGCGTGTGTAACAGAGGTAGCACAGGCAGTGTGGTAGGGAACTGGCTGTCCCTGTACATCCCTGCTCTTGTCCTCTATCTTGCCACTGGTGGTGACAATGAAGCTGGGTTGGGAAGGTCAGGAGTGAAGGAAGGCAGGGACCTGATGGAATACGTTTTCTGTTGTTGTAACATCGTTTGGTTTTGATTGTGTTTTTCTAGTTCCAGGTGAACCACCAAGCTCTGTCTCGGTAACTCCCCACACCACTTCCTCTGTGCTTGTTCAGTGGCAGGTAGGTACAACACAGCAATTGCTGTAACATTTCTACCCTGACTTACCTTGCTCAAGCTGCATGGCATAATGGCACAGTGGGAGCAGGTAACTTCTCTGCACTGGGTATCCCTAAGCACACTCAGAAGGCTGAAGTCCAGTTTGACCGGTGACAGATGGAAATTTCTGGTCCTCTAGTTTTAGTGGGGGGGGATACTATAGCTACATACCTTGATGGAGACAAAAGGAGATGATGGGGTTCCTATGACTGCCTGAGCATGTTGCATTTACACACGCTCCTGCCCGCTTGTTGGTGTCACTAGGTTTCAGTCTTTACACGTGGACTACTTAGCTGTGTCACCGATGGTGCTGATCAGGTAATGAAACAGTTCTGTCAGTACAGACTGCATATAGCCTCCTCTGGTTGGTGTCTAAGAGGACTGCCGTGCTTCTTAGGAACTCCCTGTGCACTCTGGCTCTTTTCTAGCTATTTTTCTGGAGTGAAGGAGAGCAGGTTTTGGACCTTCAGCATCATTCTGAGCTGACTTTGGAGATTATCCATGCCAGATCTGCTCTACAAATGCATGCATTTTCAGTGTCCATTCCTATCAATCTGGCTTAGGGCTGCTCTGATTTGCCAGAACGTTGTATGCCGCTGCCTTAAGACATTGTCTTGCAGAGTGAGCATGAATACAGGAACCCAGTGGGGTAATAATGAACCTGTCTGATACCTACCCTGGAAAATCTATGCTTCACCTTGCTCCTGAGAGAGAATCCTGCCCTCACAACAAGGCTGTCTTTCAAAAGATTGTATTCAAATGAAAAATGTACACGCATCTTTATGGTGCAGGCTCAGCACCTTGCATGTTGGAAGAATATTCTTTCGTGTACGAAGGTCTGTCTGTTCCTGTGCCAGCAGTTCCTGGAAGATATGCCTAGTTTTACAAGTGCACAACAGACAGCAAAACACTAAATAATGCCAACATCACTTGGAGTATGTTGAACAAATAGAAGACATGTTGAACCATTTTACTGGAGGAAATATGTCTTGGTATAAATCAACTGTCCTGCCTCCAAATCAAACATAGCATGGAATGAATTGACTACAAGGAGAACAAACAGGGAAGGCATAATGTACTGTAGGAGTAACCCTTTCTCCAATTGACTGATTTTTGGTGGGTAATTAATATGAAATAGGTGGTTATTTAGATAATTGGATGCTTTATATTTCATGAAAATTAAATGGGATAGTTGTACCATGGCCATCTCAAGGGAGTCGCGGCGATTACATGTCATTACTACACATATATTAATAGGGTCCCGGTAATTCAGCCGTACTGTATTTTGCAAATAAACAAAAATCTTCAATTCCCACAGTAGCCTACAATTAACAAGGAGTTGCACAGTAGTATTAAAGAATAATGTATACAAAAAGCATCAGCCAAGCTAAAGGGGTGGGGGGGAAGCTAGCCAAGCAAAGCTGAATTTTTAACTTTGAACTTAGTTAATAATTCACAGAGCAAAATCCAGATGCACCATCTGTGCTTTAAGCTGCTTGGTCCAATCAGTCCATTATTTTTAAATAAAAAAAAAAAGGAAGAGAATCTATCCATTGCAGACAGTTGTATTAATAATGCAAGATTGATTTGAAAAGTACTGGGCAATGTTTAAGTTAACTTTAGGATTATGGACTGCCCTGGCTCCATCTTAGGCATCCGGATTCCTGCAACTCGCATGATATAAAGAACTTGTTCATGTTACTTCCATACCCCATATAGGCTGCCACTCGTAATCACTTTACCTACCTCAGCAGATCCCTGGGGCCTTGCTTCAGATAAATACAAAATCCTAAATAATCCATTACGTCAAAAGTAGAGTTTTGTCCATGACAGACAGATAGGGCTAGAAAGATCTGACCTTCCTGTAATGTACCCTTTTCAAGAAAGGATCATCATTTTCATGGCAAGGAGGAGGAAACATTTTGGTCCATTTATCTTCCGAGTCTCTTTGTGCTAAATTTAAAGGAGGAAATAACTGGAGAAACACAGGAAGGCATAAAAAGCAAGTCGTCTGTCAACAGATCAATGTGCCACTGTGACAAGGAATTAAAGGAATAGCCTTTCGTTAACTTTAAAACAGAATGTGGAGCAAAGTTGTATCACTCGTATTCAGTAGGGTTTTCCGTCTTTTGAGATTGTATGGGAAATAGCCCCAAATGTGCTCTTTTATATTTTTGAAGTGCTGTGTGACACATCTCACTAATTAAAAAGTGAAACAGAAAAAGGCACTGGACCATTACAAGAGAACTTTCCTTCCGGATAAAACATGATTTACGTCCAACTAAATGCAAATCCAATTAATGTTCCCAGTGTCTCCTCGCTGTGATTGTTAGTTCTGCTGCTTCTCTTCTCTGACTTGGCTGCACACGCAAGTCATGATATATATTGTTGTCTTTTCCTTCTTCCCCATCAGGAAAAGAAACCATTCCTCCGAGTTATCATTATGACTCTCTCTTGCAAGTAGGGAAGTAGGGAGGCAAATTAACTGCCAATAATCGCTTGTTGAGATAGCACAATTCTATTATAATGCTATTAGCTAAAATAAAGCTAGTACGATATGGGAAAAGTAAGACAAAGGCCAAAGGATGAAAAAGAAAAAGAACTGTGGATTGTAATTACCAGGAAATAACATCTCAACGGCTTACAGTATGTCTCCCCTTCGCCCATCCCAGAAGGGAGAATGCTCCTTTTGGCTGGAAGATGACGGATGGCGCCGTCCTGCAAAGACAGAGGAGAGGGACAGGGGCTGTCTGTTTGCACAGCACCTCGTACAGCGTGGTGCTGGTCTGCGGCTGGAGAAGCTGGTTGGACAAGAGAAAACTGTTCTGCTTAGCTAGAGAAATCAAGGCATTTCAAACCGCTGAGAAAACTTGATAAAACACATCAGGGAAGCAGACATGCCAGAGCAAGAAGAACGAGGAAAGGTGAAACCTAGTGCTGGCACAAAAATAACTCGGTCTAAACTGACAAAGAATAAATTGGGTTGGAAATGAAAGAAGGGTTTTTAACCATTAGAGAAGTGAGGCTCTGCAACAGGCTTCCAGTAGAAGTAGCGCGAGGCAAGTACGTGCCCGGCCTGAAGACAGACCTTGATCGGTTTATGAAAAGCATGGTGTGATACGGCGGTCTGTGATACAAGGGGACTGCACACAATGACTCAAGGCGGGCCTCTCCCATTCCTGGTGCTTCTGCAATACTAGCAAAAAATATTAATGGTAATTGTCATCGGGGGAGTCTCTCAAAGAGTGATACGAGGCCCAGAAGACAATGAATGCGCTCCTGCATCCGTGCAGACAGAGTAGAAGCAACTTGTGTTGGATTGTTCTCAATGGGCTCCCTCTTGCTGGGACCGCTACAAGGAACTGGCTCCTTTTCTTGCTAGCTGCATACTTTCCTTGTCATCTATTAAGGTTATCCTCAGAGGTGTTCTCTACACTTGTCTGTAACATAGCCTACCCTCGTCTCTAACATAGAATTTCTCCTTTATTCCCAGTTTTCTTCAATTCTAGCCCAAAGAAATACCATACCCCTAAGGCAGATGTGTCCCCTTCATGAAATACAGTCAATTAATGGCAGGTTCTTTGCATTTTGTCTACCCGAGAGCTAGGCTCTTGCTGAACACTTGCTGCCTTCCCTGTTTTGAATGATTTTAATCCTTTTTTTACTTGCTTTATTTAAATTGCACATAGCGTTAACCATTTCGCTCAGTGTTACGGCTTCAGTGATGGACAGAGTTATCCCTATACAAAGTTCACGAAAGACACGGGGATCTTTCCAGATTAAAATCATTATCCATTTATCCTTTCAGCCCCTTAAATTTAACTGCAGGAATCTTTCAAAGATAAGTGGCTGAAGTTTCTTCTCTTCTCTGCCACTGTAAAACTACATTAGACTCCTAAAAAGGCACTTGTTCCATATGCCCCGGCTCCCATCTCCTGTCTGTATTTACTCAGACAAAAACCTCCTCTCAGTATAATGGAAGTCTGTAGCTGGAGACAGACCTCAGGGACTGCTGACTAATTCCCCTGCTGAAATGTAAGTGCTTTTGAGTGCTGGCAGGCTCTGTGCTCCAGAGAAATAGGTGTGTGAATGGCTGGCCCAGCGGCCGTACATGCTTTCCATCCTGCTCCAGACTGCTGTGCGGGAGAGCCATGTTAAGCTCTCAGATCCAGTGCCCGGCCTCAGTTTGTCCAAAGCAGGGGCACTTTGTCTTGTGTCTAACAGCCTCGCTACCTGAGGTTGCAGGAGCTCAGGTGAGCTCTGTGCGGGGTTCTGTCCACTCCCTCTTTACTAGAAAGAAGACGGTGATGGAGAAAAGAGAGGACTCTTGAGGATCCCCAGATATTTCGTATGGGCTCCCTGGGGAAAAAGAAACAACATCTGAATAAGGATTACATTGCATCTGGTATACTGATGGGCAAGAAACTTGAGAAACAATATCCCTTGTACGTTATATCAGAGCTCTTCTCCTGACTTGCACATTTCTGTTTGTTAGAGACGGTTCCCTCTGGCCCAAGGGGAGTCTGTTCTGCTCTAGCCCAATGTAAATGAGTGGCAATATCCCATCTGCAAGGAGGGCTATTACCAAATATACCTGTTTTTTTACTATATGAGTTAAAGCCGTAATATACAGATCTGTATTCATCAGTACGCCCCTAAAGCCATGCTGAATCCAGAGCGTGCTATTAGCAAGCTGTCCCCAAGAACAGCCGCAAGAGAATTACTGTTTCAAAAATAATGCTTTTGCCCCCAAAAAATTTTTAAAAAATGGATTTATCTTCTGTCTGCTGAAAGTCTGACATTTTGGCTTCCACTTCTCCTGCTTATTGGAGGCAATGGGTAGGCGCTTCTGAATTTTTTGCATCTGGTTTGGCTACATAGTTTATCACACAAAGGCAGGGAGCTTAGGTTGTAGTGAACTTTGGACTTTTAAATACAGAGCCCTTTGTAAGTACCCCATCTGAGTTAAAATAACAGAAGTGCCATTCAGCTCTTTTGTGTGTAAATTCCATGAACTTTAGCTTGCAAACATTAAGACTGGCTCCGTTTCAGCCTAGGGAGCTCTGTGTCCCCTGTTGCACAGAACCCTGTGTCTGCTTAAGACCATCTAAGCCAAGGTCTGTATTGTCTGATGTTTGCTGCATTGCACATTCTTACCAAATGCTTTCCAAATACGAATTTCTTGCAGCCACCAAAGGTCGAGAGTCTGAATGGCTTGCTGTTGGGATACCGGATTTATTACCGGGAGCTGGATTATGACCCTGGCTCTGGAACAGAGTCCAAGACCGTTAAAAACCCTTCAGCTTTACGAGCAGAGCTTACACGTGAGTAGACAGCATGTGTTTTGGACACATCGTGGTATTGCATGGTAATCCCTCATTCCACTAGTGTCCCCTGCTCACCCCAGGGGGAAACTACATATGTTTCTAGGGCACTGAATTATTTAATACTTGCATACAAAGGATGGAGATGCTCAAAGATGGGGACATTTCCAAGACAACCTTAAAGTCTCAAAGTATTTTTTTGTTCCGTAGAGAGAAAGTAGAAAATAAATAAATCAAAAAGTCAGAATCTCATCATGGTGGAGTGCAGGTTAATAGTACTCAATTACCCCTTTATTGATCCACATGGAAGGGAAGATGAGGAGAAGAATTAGAGAAACATGAAAAGGAGGTTTAAACAGAGGAAGGAATGAAAGGAGAGGAGGAGGTGGCAGAGAGGGACAGGAGGGGTATACCAAGTGGGGGTCAGTAACCTTCCAGATGTGAACCGGCAATAAAGGAGCAGCTTTTGCCATGATTAACATCCATGGAACTACTCACAGGGCACATCTACATGTGCTTATTAATAAGCAATAAGCTCTGGAGCTTATCACGTCGGAGCTTATTGCTGTTAGGTATGCATGTGCACGTGTGCCCGGAGCTCAGCACATTTTGCTGGGTTGCCGCAGCCCCCGTTGGCAGGAGGTCCGCGGGATCAGCCTGCCAATCCAAGGCTGCTCCTACCTGGCTCAACGTGCTGCAGAGGGGCACAAGGGCGCTTCAGCACGGGACTAGCCAGCAGGCAGCCCCCGCGCTGAAACACTCTCGTGCCGCAGCCAACCAGCTCTGGGTGTCTATAGATGTGGTGCTGCAGAGTAAAAAACTCTGCAACAGGGTAGGACTTGTATTGACATGTACTACTCTGCTGCGGAGTGTATTAGTTTCATACACACTAATAGGGGTGCACGTGTAGATGCTGAGACGTTTACTGCACTGTTAAATAGTCAACTGTGCACTAAGTGTCTTGTGTAGATGCACCCACAGAATAAAATACTATTCATAGTAAGTACAAGCCATAGAATTGGGCCCAACAGGACTGTTCTGATGTGATGATATCCTGCCTCAGCTCCTTGGTTTTGGAGAATGCAGAATGACTGTCTTTGAGCAGGGTGTTTTAAATATATTGATTTTCTACCTGTGGAGGATAGATTTTTTTCAAATAGCATAAGCATCAGATTCTGCCCTGATTTATACCCTCCAATGCCTGGTAAGGGCAAGGGGGGATTGTAAATCAGAATGTGGCCTAATAGTCTGTAGCCACCTATTTAATACTGTTCTACTATAAACCACCCTGCTGGGCTTTTTTCAGGCAACTCAGATAGAAAAAGAGAGACAAAGACGGATGTATTTTCAAAGCAGCTTCAGCTCTGAAAGTCTTACGCGAGAGTATCTCCATTCCACATGGACCTGCTGTTTTTATACAGCTTGCTATTCTCGTTCATTTGCAGGAGGAATATTGAACCATGAAAATAATGCTGCGCAAAAACTTAATATATATTTAAAGAAATAAATCCCATCTGAGGTCAAGTGTTAGCGATTTACGTCCCGCATTTCAGGTCTTTATCCCATAATGCTCCACAATTGAGCTTTGGCATGTTGAGAAATAAGCCTGCGGTACAGTAGCTGGAATTTTCCCCATAGAAATTGCTTCCCTCAGACTCATTTGTTCTGTATACGCTGACAAGCCATACGTTTCCCCGTGTTGTGTATTTGTATGATTCTCTGTTTGGTGAGGAAGTGAAACAAACCCTTGTGAGTGAGATGCTTGTGATGGGTTCTGAGAGAGTGATGTGATTTTATTGCCCTTCAAGGTACAGTCCTGACGCTCAAACTGTGTATGTGTGCACTGCATCGTTTCCTTCTGTCTCTGCTCTACATCATTTGCAATAACTATTTCCCTGCACTGTAACAAGCTTTCTGCTTTGCTTACCCTGAATAGCCCAAAGCAGCTTCAAGATAGTGAACAGCAGCTCTGCATTAACGACGTATGAATTAACACGTAAGTGCACACTGCCTTTAGATGAGACACTTTATAATGGTTGGTAATGCACTATGGGCAAACTCCTGTCATTCTCCTCGCTGGATCAAGTATAAACCGACTCAGATTAATGAGTCACTTTCCTTGGATTCCTGTTCTTTAAACCTTTGTTTTCAATATATCAAAAGATATTGGTGATGGAAGTGACTGTTTTAAAAAGATGGCTGCTGGGTAGGTGAAGCATCATTGACTACAACATCTCCGTATTTCTGATGCTAAGTGAATTTTGATTCTGCTTGCCTCATATTTCACAGTCCATCTGAGTTTAGTTGAATCACATCATTAGTCCTTTGATTCGAGCATCAGGATACTCAAGCATTCTGCAAGTTACAAGGCCGGTTTAGAAAGGACCCAAAGAATTTGTATGCAGCTCAGAGATGTTTTCAATTGGAAATGAATAAAACAGTGTTCGACAGAGTTAAAAGGCAAGTTGCTTCATGGGGACAGCGGTTCACTAGGCAGGTTTTGCTCCAGGCTTCTGAGTTACAGATTGTCACGGGGTAAAGAAATGAAGCCCTGATCCCACATGCACTTGCATGCATGAACTCACATATGTTCTGTTTCCTTCTGTATTAGCACCAAACCCCTAACTTGTAGCAGCAGCAATAAAAGTTTCTTTGTATGAGTTGACAAGCACCATAACTCCAAACAGGATGGCTCTTTCCTCTACAGTATATCAGTGTTTCATTTGTAGGCTGGCAAAGCCTCGATCATGTATCAAATATCATCTAGTGGGTATCTGAAACCAGTGAGTGATGCTGGAGTCTGACTCAGATATATGGGCAAAACACTGCTGTGGAGCTGAAATTAGAAAGATCAGATTCACTGAACTTGCACCAGACCGATTTGATCCACAGAGCTAAGGTGCAGTATGATTCATGGGTAGCAGGGAAAGGTCCTGGCAGAGGAAGGAATCCAGAGACATATCCAATCCATGCACAAATGAATAAACAATACTGTTTTAAGGACCATTTTTTAATATAATCGTCTGATCTTCCAAAATATTTTTGTTCTTGGATCCTTTCGGTGATCCATATTTCTTTTAGACTCAGTGACTTCATTGTAAGACGCAAGTCCTGGAACCTGTGGGCAGTTGCAATCTTCTGGGATAGTTACATGATTCTACTCCACCCTCTTTTTAATTGGTTTAGTAATTACCTTAGTGCCCTAGATTTTGCCTGCTTTTTCTCTCCTTGCTCTCACTCTCCTTCCCCCATCTGTCAGAGTAGTCCCTGCGTGTCAGCGAAGAAATTGGGAGCCCGGTGGCCAAATGGAGTACAAGAGGTTTCAAATCCCCCTTGGAATCTGTGATCAATATTGAAATGGTAATCACTTCGAGAAAAATGGATGTGCAGCCCTTTGAATGGGATTGCAGACTCCTCTCCATCAACCTCCGTCTGTACCGCATTTCAGTTGCAACAATGCTGTTGCTAACTGTTCCCTATAATAGAGAGGACTCTGTGGCTGGGGAAAGGCCTACAGCTATGATATTTCCCATAAGCAGAAATAAATAAGTCTGGATCTTGACCTTTTATAGTATGATTGCCTTCTTGAACAGGCTCGCCCTTAGGCACGGCTCAGGCATTTTGCTCTTTCTGGTCAACGACTGAGAATTATCCCTCTTAGCCTGTGGACAGATGAAACCCCCTTAGGGTCAGATCGATCGCTATATTTGGGGTCAGGAAGGAATTCTACCCCATGGTCAGATTGATATGGACTATGGGGGGTTTTTTGCCATCTTCTGTAGGTGGGGTTGCATGGCCCTATTCCTGGGCTCTCTTGAGCATATATTAACAACTTCACAGCAGCGGGACGTTGGCCACAGCAGTCCCCCTGTAACAGCTTAGGGTGTTATGGCTTGTGGTTTTGTCAGGAGTGACTAGTTTTGCTAAAAGGTTGGATGGTGGATTTGTACAGGATGGTTTGGATAGGGAGAATCCTGCCTCAGGCTGGGCTCGATGAACTCTGGAGGTCCCTTCCAGCCTTACTTCATTACAAGTCTAAGTAACATTTACACCGGTGTACTCAGCACAACATGGGTGTAAGAAAGTAATAGGCAGGTAAGCAAATCTGAACTGGGATAACTTCACCCAATTAAAAGGAATTAGGGGCAAAGGTCTACTAATATAAATAATACCAGTTTAGGTTTTGAGTGTGTGCTGCCATGCCAGCATAGCCATTTGATAAACACGAGCAGGGTATTTATTAGTTACTGTTGTCTTGCACCTAATGACAAAGCCCTGGGAAAGTGCTTGCTGCCCTAGGACAACTGATCTGTATTCATTTCTGACTCCGGTGCTACTTACATTGGTCTACAAAACCCCGTGTAATTACACCAGGGTTTGCCGTGTCAGTCCACACTCTTGAGGAAGCAGTAGGAGATCTGGGGGGGGGGATAGACTGAGGTCTTGTCCTAATTATAAAAGTTATTACACGTCATTACTGTGGCAATGTGTGAATTAGAAAAGACGAGTTAAACAGAGCCAAGTAAAAGACTCTCACATTTCAGTAACTTGTTTCCAATATTCTCTCGCTATATTGAGTGAGCGAGAAATGTGGCTATAAAGGGATAAGGGAGTATTAAGTGGGATGTTAGAAGTGTCAGTTTTTGATGTAATAATTTACATTTCCAGATTTGAAGAAGTACAAGAGATATGAAGTTTTAATGACAGCCTATAATATCATCGGGGAGAGCCCTACCAGCACACCTGTGGAAGTGTTTGTCGGCGAAGCTGGTAAGTGACTGGAAAATGAATTGCTTTAGGGGGTTGAGAGAGATCCTGGAGTCTCGGAAAGATCCTCCAATAGCCACCCAATTTTCCACGGTGCCTCCTTCAGAGACATGTTGGGACTAACAGTCATTTGCTTTTGGAAAGCTGATACATCTGCAAAGCCCAGAATGAGGAAAGCAAATGCGTCTGGAAGAAAGAGTTGGGGGAGGAGGAGGGAGAGAACATTTTTAGCAGTTCAAAAAAATGAGATTAGCTTGAGGAAAGAGTTGACTCAAGGTAAAGAAGTAAAAAGTGGAGCATAAGAAAACGAGAAGGGAAAAGAACAGAAACCAGAAGGCAAGGGTGACCTAGGAAGTAGGTTCATTTATTTTATGAATATGCCCCTGTGTGGAGCATCGTCCTGCGCACACGTGCCACAAACCTCTACGTACATTGGCATCTACTGAATCCTTGGAGGGAAGTGTCTCCAGGTTCGCCGTAGCTCTGCAGTTCACCACCACCCTCGGGAAAATGAGAACTCTTTACCTCTGTCTTCAACGTGACCAGGATGAAAAGCCTCCCCAACAGTAGATCTCTGTGTGCGACTCTACATCTCCATATTACCTGTTAGGTATCTAGAGCGTACGGGCAAACTGTGTTTTACAAAATGCAACTGTTTGATCAATGTAAAGTCCCTCCCCTAACAGACTTATCGCCTAGAGTAGACTGGCAGAGTGTGCATAATCAAACACTTCAGTGCTTCACGAGACAGGAGACTGCACTAACCCAGTGCTGACGCTGTCCCCCGCCGTAACACTGCCTGGAAGAAAACAGGACTTGAGCCAATGCCGTAGTTCACATTTATAAAGGCTCCAACTGATAGGCTTGCGCTGGAGTCACTGTGAGCTTTGATACCAATCCCAATAGCAAGTCTTCCTATCAGGACTTCATACACAGTGGTTACCCAGACACACGTCGGCTCTCAGCATGTTGTTCAGTCAGCTGCTTTGAAGCAATCTGGTTTCACTTTTGTTTTTTTATCTTTAATCTAAGTCTTGAAGGGTTGATTTCAAAATCCCGAGTTAATTGTTTTTATTACAACTTCATTAAAAGACTAGATTTTTCTGAACTACAACAAACAAGTTATTAACTGTGCTTAACCTATTTCAAGGCTTGCTGTAACGTTCAGTATTTGAAGAAAAGCTTCATGAATGAATCAGGGGAGCAGGCCTGCATTGTGGATGCAGTTAGGGATACTTATTGAACTGTTAGTATTTTGTTAGGACTCCAGCTTCTTGCAAAGATGGCAAAGGAAGCTCCAAGTGGAGCCAAGTATGTTTGGCTTCAAAATGTATTTTCTTTGCAGAACTAAATAGCTCATCACAGCACTGCAGCCAGCAAAGACATTTACACACACACCAATTCAAAAAGTAAGCCAGGGAAACAAAGGGAAGCCGCTGCATTATGTCTTCATCTCCCTCAACCCAAGTATTGATCATGGGAATTCAAGCAAGTGGCAGAGAGATGGAGGATGGAGAGCCCAGGAATATACTGTGACATCTGCATGCAATGCACTCTGTGAGATGCAGGGGTGACAGTATCACTTGGCTTGGTGCTTGTTAGGCCACAGCCCAAAACTGTGTCCGATTTCAATCGTTGCATTTTAAGAGCGATGCAGGGGAGTTGATAGCAGTTTTGAAAGAGTCCAGAGACTGTGAGAAAGAAAGTGGCAGGGAGCATGACACAAGACAATGGGTTTAAACTGCAAGCAAGCAGATTTAGAATAAGTATCAGAAAATCTTGTATGTGTAAGGACAGTGAGGCAAGCTACTGGGTGAGCTGGGCAATCTGCTTCATTAGTAGTTTTCAATAAGAGGCTGGATGGAGATGGGAAAAGCCAGTCCTTCGCCTATGCAGAGGGTTAGACTTACGACTGCTGAGGTGCCTTCCAGTTCTATGGGTGCCTATAGATGTGCAGGGACACTGCTTCAATGCGCTGTAATTACAGACACGATTAACTGCGTCTGCTGGAGTGTGCTAATTATGCTCCATAAGCCTCTGCATCTCATGTATACAGCATCCCCACACTTCAGAGTGGTGGCAGAAGCGCTTTAACTAAAGCTTGTCGAATGAGTTTTAGTCAAAATGTCCCTGCCACCATTTTGAAGGGTGGGACTCTGAATACATGAGACGCTGCAGGCGCTTTAATTAGAGCAGCCCTTGGAGTTTCTCTAATTAAAGTGCTGCCCCTGCTGCCCCCACCCCTAGAGCGCATGTAAAGATGCCCTGTGATCCTATGACCTGGGGGACTCGTTCCTGAGTAACCACTGTTGCAGTTCACGTTGCAGCACAATGCGCTGGTATTTTAAGCGCCACAGAATTTACTCTGATCAGGGATAATCCCAGCCCGTGCTGCAAACATCATTGTCATCATTGGCAGTCCCTTGGGGTCAGGGATGGCGTCCATCAGGCTTGATGGGTCCTCAGGTGACTGGGGGGCCCAATTCTGGATGCACACGTTCTTCGGCAATGGGGGCATGTTGTTGCGTGGGGGAGTGGGATTCGCAGCCCCAGGTTGGTCTCCTTCTTCCTCCACCACCGCCGTTCCACCTCAGTATTGAATCGTTGGGCCTCGAAGTAGTGCGCGCCTTGGTAGAGCAGGTGGCACCACCCAGTCCACCAAGGTAGCGCTGCAAACATAGGAAACGTGGGATTTCCTACAGATTTTCCTACCTGCTGGGCAAAGCTATCACACACTGACAACGCACCAGCTTCTTTTCAGCCCAGAAGTGGCAGCATTTCTTCAGTGACTGATGTGATCAATCTGCAGAGCTGGTATGACAGTGTAAGTTTGCCAGTTCAGTTATGATCCTTTGAATTGAGAGGTGCTCTACAGATGCAAGTTGTTAGGATTGTTTTGTTCATGTTTCCAAGGACTTGTTAGTAGCAGCAACGGCAAATTACTGGTAAGGTGGAAGTGGCTTTGTTCCATTTTGACTGTAGGGACCCAAGTCAAAAATACTGAACAACAGAAAGCGAGTGTGAGAAACAGCGGAGGGTGGGGACTCAGTTATCCAGGGATATAATTGAACGTAACTGCACTTGTACAGTGCGTGCACACACACAGACCAAAGGAGACGGGCATTATATCTGGGAATCGTATACAGCCGTTGGATGAATGCTGTTAAAAGGTTGTTGTGCTCCATCCTTGAGGGTCTCGGCAATTCTGTGATGAGCAAAATGATTCTTTTCTGTTTAGGAAAGGGAGATAATACAGCACATTTATTTGTGGGGGGAACCTCTTACCGGTAAAATAGTGTGATGGAAATATTCTGTTTTAAGCACTTCAGGCAAGGGTTGTGATCTTTTTGTCTTGTGCAGCACAGAGCACAGCCAGTGCTAAAATAATCATGGTCAGTGTGCAGTTCAGAGAGTCTGATTTCAATCCCTTGTTTCTACATCTGGTAGAAGTAGCTGGCTGCACCCAAGGAGGGATGTCTGTAGATCTGCCCTCCTTTCTGTCTCTGCTGTTAGTTTGAATTCTTCCAATTGATGTATCTGGAGATTTGTACTGTGGTAAGAGTGCAGCTGTCCAGCACTCTGGGCTCCCTTGGTTATCTGTTAAAAATACACTAATAAGACTGCGATCTGTCACTTGCCCCGGGTCAAATCAAACAACCCAGTGAAAACATCTCAGGTAAGAGGGAGTCGATGTCTGACCCAAGTCCCACATCACCGTCTCCAACTTACCTATCACCATGTTTTTCCTTTCCAAAATGAGCCCGTTTGGGTTTCGTTTTGTAGCTCAGGCCAGGAAAGAGGATGATTATGCCTGTGAGAACTGCCTGATGGGGACAGCCGACTCAACAGGGAATTGGTGACACCGTCCCCTGATGTGAGCAGTGAAACGGTGAGGGAGATGCAAGTGGCCTTTTCCTGAAGGAGTATCAAGCAGGCAAAAAAGGTAAAGCAAGGCCTTTCTTGCTTTAGGCAGAAAGTCACAGTGTTTCGCACAGGCTTCTGGTCCAACAGGTGCAAGACTCGCCAAGGTGGAGGTTACTTATGCATCAGCTTTGGGCCCTCTTTCTGTGGCATGTGCTAAACAGAGCCCTGCCTTTGCCAGGAGAGCTGCTCAGCCTTTTCCACGTGAGCAAAATTGAGCTGGGGTCCCTCCGAGCGAGCCCCTCTCTCTACTGGAGTAGGAGATGCTTCTCACGGTGCCGTTCTCATCCGGCTGCAGCTCTGCCCTGCTCATTAGTGAGCTGTGTGAGGCTCCTGACAAATGACAGAAAAATTGAAACCACTACTTACCAAAATTAGGAGGGGAGTCGCAGCCCCTCCGGCAAGCCCCCTTCTCGCCTTGTTAATTCATTTAACAGTTCAGCTGTCAAGGCTCCAGCTTTGATTGGAAAGCCAGTGCCTGTTCAGCGAGTGCCTAGGTACTGATATTAATCCTGGCCCTAAATGCAGCTGCTACCAAAGGTGTTGTTCTGCATGAATGAAATGAAGCCTCTTTTTGAGCGGGTAGTGCAGGAAGAGCAGTACTGTACCAGGTCAGTGCCATTATCTGATCGCAAGGTGGGCTCTGGAGTTCAAGAGGTTGCCGGCACCTGCGTGATAATTAAATAGAAATGGCAGGTCTGGGGAAGTCGCACTTCCCCTAATTTAGGGAAGTGAATAAAACGGAAGGCAGCAGTACAAATCCTGTGCTAATGAGCACCCACGCGCCAGTGCTTCCCCCTCCGCCAGCAGGGCTGCTTGGGATGAAATATAATGGAGTTCTTCATTCTCCCCAGCAGCTGCAATGGGAGGTGTCTGGATGCAGGGAGGAGGTAACGGGAAGGGTAAAATACACAGCGGTACCTCCCTTTAAACAGGTGATAAATCCACTCCCGTGAAGAAGACGGGGAGAGTGACGCACGTCACGATAACTGATGGTAACATTGATGACCTTCATGCTTCACGGGAGCTGAAGCTGTGTATTTCCTCCACCCTCCTTTTAATTTTTTTAATAATGAGCTTTG